AATTTTGGTGGTACCTATATGTTGTAATGCCTTTTCTTTTATTTATTTATTCTTTAAACCGGGCGCCACCAACTTTTTCCTAAAAGTTGGAAAAGAATTATTTGAAGATGTTATCCAGGTTTACACTACATATAAGAGTGCCTTTCCGACCAGCTTTTATACAGTGGAAAGGAATGGGAAGGTTCGATTTAATTAAACACAGGTGATTGAAAAGAGAAATTTATTCAGTAACTATAACAACAGTAACAACAGATAAAACAAGTAATTTTACAAACAAACTCTAACTTGGACCTAGTGAACTCTAGCCCTTGGAGAAGAGGTCCTCCGTGGGTGAATTTGAGGGGAGAAGTTTCGTCGGTTGTTTTCCTTAAGAGGTCCAGGAAAATGACACCACCTGGAAGAAGTCCCAGAAGTTGTTTTCCTGAAGAGGTCCAGGAAATGACACCACCTGGAAGAAGTCCCAGATGTTCTGGGGTAGGTGTGGTTTAACGACGGAAGAAGGTCCCGTCGACCGTATTCTTTGAAGATGTCCAAAGAGCACAGTCCTTCAGGAAAAGTCCTGAAGTTATTCCACCAAGAGAGGTCTTAGTGATTTCGTCCGAAGAGGTCCGGAAGGAGACTCAAATGAATCTGGCGGTGTGGCGGCCTGTTCTCCTTTATATACCCTTTGAAGTCAGCATTTCCATAGTAACAAAACAAACACTTTGTTTATACAGAGTGGTTATAAATGATTTTCATCTAGCCAGTTTTGGAATTTTTTTGCATGTAACTTTATTTGTGCCGCTCTACTTGTTTGAAAGCTCTATTTCTCTCATTAGTGTCACTTATTAATTAATAATAAATTGTTGTTAATTAAATTTTTATTGTTTCAACTAATTTCCAATACCAATTGATAATAATGTATACTTTAGAAGAAAACAAGTTTATAATTGAAGTCTATTTTCGAAGTGGCCGCTTAGTAAACGGCGATTTTTTAATTTTGAGTTACAACAAGTAAGTACCCCTATTTTCGTAAAGCGGCATTTTTTATTTTACATAGAAAATTCACAGCTGGCTATAGTGTATTCACGCTGGTGTTACCGCTAAGCCATAAACCGTACCCCTTGTAAATCTTCATAATCACCTTCAAACCGAACGCTCGTGCCTGTTTCTTTTGTTGTGAAAATCGAGGGTTTTCGGTACCTACTCAATATGTCCATCCTTGTTTTTCCATGTCACTGTATGTTGTCGGAGTAAGAGGAAGATAGGGACGTAAAACTTTCAAATGAGAAACAGAATTACGGATCAGTGGAAACAAAAATGTAGACTCAAATTTTAAAATTTATTTAAAAATATAACAAACATTAGTTTTCTAAAATAAAATAATAAAAATACAATACATGTATGTAATATCCTACGGCTAATCAGAATATTCTCCGATGAAGAAGTGTCGTCACCCAACGTTATAATTAATGGTTCCACCTCATCTATTAATTGTTTCAACGTGGGAAAAACAATTCTTCCAATTGTCAGGTTGAACTTGCTGCAGTGATTCATTCCACATTGCCAAAACAGCTTCTTCACTGTAGCCGTTTCTTCCAATGTGTTTGTCATAATATTTTTTTGTCTGACTCCATATTAATTCTATTGCATTAAATTGGCAGTGATAGGGAGGTAAACGCAAAACCTTGTGCCCTGCTTGTTGTGCTAATTCATCGATAACATAAATGTTATCTTTTTTACTAGCTCTCGCAAGAAGCGTCCAAAACAACAATATTTTTATACAAGCCTTCTTTCTTAATTTTCAAATAATTTCGAAGAAAATTTGTGCGTAAGTGCACAACATGCTTCTTTTCGCACAAAACCGGTCTGTTTGAATATTTCTTATATTTGAATCCTAACTCGCGTAAAAGTTTCCAAAGTGTTGTCACACGTCGTTAATACTTTCAGAGTGGCGAAATGTTTTGGGTGCACTGGTACCTGTCACCCTCGGCTTGGTTATATTGCTTAGCGGCAACACTTGCGTGAATACACTATAGTTGAAAATCATTTATAACCACTCTGTACTTTTTTTACTTTTACTTTTTTTTTTAAATAAAACACAAACACAACATATTGTTTATTCAAAGAATTCTTGCGCCATTTAATTAATTAATTGTTTGGAAAATATGCTATACATATTTCTAATATCAAACAAATACTAGATCCAAAATTTTATTACAATGTATATGTCGTAGTCATTGGGCGTAATGCGTCATTCCGCGGAAAGCCTAGTCTTTCGCCGTACTGCCGGCAGACGCTGTAATCAAATAAATATTCCTTTGTTTGAAATTTTACGTCATTTCAGGGATTGCCCACTTAATTTTAGTCAAACAAAGTAACCGGTTAAACCAGTACATGGTACAGCGTTTAACGGAAGTGTATTTAGTAATTTGCTGAAAAGTCTTGAAATGTTTGATGTTTTCTGTAGAAACGTAAATTTTTGGTAGAAGAAAAGAAAAGCCAAAAAACTAAAATATTTTTATTGTAGCAAATTATTTGTTTCGTTTATTTGGAATAATGTAAACATATAATATTATAAAATCATACAAAAAACGTTAAGTACATGACCTAAACAACAGATAAAAATATATTTTTTGCCTTCAGGTAAATTAAACAAAAATAAAAATATATTCTTTAGAAATCTTTTGCAGCCTAAAATATGTACAACTGAAATAAAGGTGTATTTTGAGGTTAGAAGTCTTTTACCTCCTTCATTATTTCATAATTTCACGGTTTTTTGGCATCTTTGTTTTTCAAATAATATTCATTTAATTTGTCATAAAACGAATTCTTATAATTATCCATCTTCCAACAATTACTAAATGTTACGGCCCGAAATACTACACAATAAAATTTCAAGCTTTCAGCAAATGACTAAATACGCTTTCGTCAAACGCTGTAACATGTAATGGTTTAACCGGTTACTTTGTTTGACGAGAATTATTTAGGCAATCACTGAAATGACGTAAAATTTCAGTCAAATAAAGGAATATTCACTTGATTACAGCGTCTGCCGGCAGTACGGCCAAAGACTAGGCTTTCCGCGGAATGACGCATTACGCCCAATGACTATACGACATATACACCTCAAGTGAAGGAATAAATGATTAAAATTTTATCAAGAACAGCTAACGTCTTGGATGTTTGTTGTATTTGACATTTCTCATCTGTAGCAAAGTTATTAATGATTATTGATATTTTAGATGTTACCAATCTTTTACTTGTGTCGTTGCAATGCTCCATGTTTGTCGTAATTAGCATTACAATCAATTATCTCCTTAAGAAAGAGGTCAAAATTGTGAGAATGCATGAGGGCCGATTACCCTTTCGTAAAATGGCCAGAAAATTGGGTCGTGACTCCACAAGTCCACAATGGAGGGTTTGGTTCAAAGAAGACCCAGATTCTGGCAAGCAACTGTCCATTAGATTGCCATAGACAAAACAGAAAGGCGAGTGCTTTTTGATTGTGCACAATCTATGTTTCTTCAACAAAAAGTAGCTACTTTTCATAGTAAAAATGTTACTGGAAAAAACAACTGTTAGAATTTGAATTCGATCTATTTTTCTATTAAAATCCCAATCTTATAGCTTATAGTTGAAGAGACACCCCCGCACTGTTTGAATTAAAAATCGTGTACAGGGTGCTGCATTTTGGATGTCCGAATAGGGAATCTCCAAAACTAAGAGGTTTAGCCAAAAACGAGTAATACATTCTGGGGCTCATTTTTTGAGAAAATAATATTGGTTAAAACCGCATCCCGCTATCGTCTTTTATTTCCGACTTATAGACATTTTAGTTGACATTTTAGCGAAATCTAAAAAGTTCATATCTTCGTTATTATAAAAGACACAGATTTGAAATAAAGACAGGCACTTTTTTACGTAGAATTTAATAATGTAGTTAACAATTTTTTTCAGTTGTTTGTTTAGCCGTAATAAAATAAACTTGTATTTTTTTAAATAGAAATCATAGATGGCTCTGTCATTTTTAAAAAGCTTGTTTTTTTCTGATCTAACAAATTATAATAATACATTTTTAGCAAAAAATTATCTTTGATTTTTGTTCGCAGTTGGCTATGAAAAAATGTTGCATCTTCAACTAAAAGGATTTAAACTATATTATATTCAACCAGAGTCACTAATGAAAGAGTTTTATAAGTACTAAGTAATGCAAAAAATGCAAAATAAATTATAAATCAACTTATTGGCGACTAATAATATTTCTTTGTTTTTAAACAAACTAACATTACCATTGCAATTTCTAGTGATACATAGAGTGTTGTAAAAAAAAGCCGCTTTAATTCTTCAATAAAATATATTTTATATGACACAAAAATGACGATATGGCTATTCAAATAACCATATTCCGTCTATATGAAACGTTATCCTACCTCCATTAGATCATCAAAAATTTTTTTTTTCTAATTGTGTTGACTTTCGACACATTTATTTTTCCTATTTTTGGATTTTTTAAAAATATGTAATATTTTTTTCTGAGGCGCTCGCATATTTGTTCAATGCTTGTACCGTATCGTATTTAATTTTTATTTAATTGTATCTATTTTTTCATCTATTTTACAGTTCACAAAACTCTTATTAATTATTATTTACATATTTGGAGTGAAATAGTTTTTCCATGGCCAACTATTATCAAACAAAATATGTATTTCACTTTTTAAATATAGTTATAAAAAATATTCTGTTACAATTATTTATTTTTTAGATCAGAAAAAAATAAGCTTTTCAAAATTGCCATAGCCGCCTATGATTTACATTTAAAAAAATAAAAGTGTATCTTATTACGGCTAAACTAATGACTGAAAAAAATTGTTAATTACATTATTAAATTCCTCGTAAAAAAGTGCCTCTATAATGTCTTTATTTCAAATCCGTATCTTCTATAATAACGAAGATATGATTTTTTTACATTTCGCCAAAATGTCAACTTTTGTCTGTAAGTCGAAAACAAAAGACGATAGCGCGATGCGGTTTTAACCAATATTATTTTCTCAAAAAATGAGCCCCAGAATGTATCACTCGTTTTTGGCTGAACATCTTAGATTCGAAGATTCCCTATTCAGACATCCAAAATGCAGCACCCTGTACAGTTTTTTTTTGGGAAGACCCACTGGCAACAACGAAAATTTTTTACTTTTCAACATTTATTAAAGTTCTGAATAAGAAGAAAAAATAAAGATAAAATATAAATAAATAAATATATTCCCAACAGGGAATAATTTATTCCCTCGTTTTGAACTAATAACAATAACCTATGGTACTTTATTCCCTCGGAACAAAATAAATAAAATACGGAGTTTTGCTCTTAAAATAAACGGGAATTAAATCTTTTGAATGTTTTTTGAAATAAACAAACTCCTTGATACCGAATTTAACTCTTAAAATTGCAATTAAATGAACGGAATATTTTGACAAATTTCTCGTTTTCTTATGTTATGTATTATTAATTTAGTATGATGGGAGGAAAATTTTGTATACATCTCTGGAATAAATATCGTTAATCCCTCGAATGAAAATAAAATTACATATTCCTTTGACACATAAATAACAATTTAATTAGAATACACATATGCATTTCTATGTAACTTTGATGGCATTTGTATAAAGTGGGTCAAGGTTACGCGATATACGTTGTCAATAACTGAACTGAATAAGTCCACAGTGACACGATTTTACTTACCTTGCACTATAAGCTTCAAGAAGTAACTGAAGTAACAATATATATTTTTTAATATTTCTTTGTTATGCGTTTTTAAATCATGCTTTTTGGTTTCTTATATTGTGAAATGTTATTCAAAATTCTACAAATGTTTGTCAATCAGTACACTTTTCAAATTATGAAATTTTTATTGAGTGGGTATTAAGGTATAACTGAAAACAGATTTTCCGGTAAGAAGAAACAGTTGCCGATCAGAAAATGAAAAAAAAAATTGATTAATAAAACAAACTTATAAAACAGATAAGATAAGGAATTAGGAGGAAAACACTGTCAAGTTTTTTATTACAATTTATTGAAGCACCATTTCATGCAAAATTAATAATTTTATCATTAAATACTAAGTCCTAAAGATTCATCCATACATGATAAGTACAAAATAAATCCGAATAATATAATATTAGTATCAAAATTCGTAGGATAAAAGCTAAAGTATCATTATACATATACATACTTGATATCATTTATTTAAATAGGTGTGTACCATATAAAAGTATAAAATAATACAAAAATTGGCATGTTTACAATTGAGCCAAAGGTTGGTAGAGGAATGATTTAAGCACTCTTTTCTTGGTCGATTATTTCCTTTGTTGGTAGAGGATTTTTCTCACAGGTTTCGGCGTGTCTTAATTTGCTACTATCGAAATTTTCAATACCGGAAATCAACTGTCTTTGGCCTTTTTCTTGTTCAATCACTACAAAAAATACAACACATTTTCAATATGTTCATACTTACTAATAATTAAATCAAATTAAAAATAATGGCCACAATATTTGTAAGTTAAATTAATAACATGGTTAATTACTAATTAATTATCCATCTTTTTCACAACAAAACTCGAAGTATAATTTTTTTAGCAAAAGTTATTTTTATTGATCTTAAATAAAGTCCAGTGATGATTAATGTCCCTCCAGGCCATGCATGAGTCATTTTCTATCTACAAGGGGTTGTTTTGTTCATATTCGTAATTCGCTAAATTAAAACAAGATAGGGCGTGGTAAATACTGATGCTTATATTTTAATGCAAATTATATTTTAATTCTTACCAAGCGAGTAAATCAGCTTTAGTGCGGACCTACCTTCATTATCAGGTAAAACAATCTTTTCAGCCGTGGTGGTATGCTTCATTGTGGCTTTGTCGAAATGTTCGACTCCGTTTAGCAGATTAAGATGATTTTTTTCTTGAAGCACAACTATCATGCAAAAGCAAGCATTTATTATTCAAACATGCAAATTAATTAATTAACATTTAGGTAAACAAATAAGTGCGCTCAGGCTCTCTTAAATATTCAAAGCAGGACGGATAAATAAATAACTCACCATCTTTATCTGGAAGAGGATTTTTCTCCTGAGTTTCGGTATGTTTGAGTTTACTTGGATCGAAACGTTCGATGCCGGCGATTAAAGCTTTTTCCGTTTTCTCGGCTGCTACATCTAAAAAAATTACAATTCAATATTAGGATATCATTGAGAGGAGTGTAAGTAAACATTTCAATCGCAGCTTTACTAGTTTTGTTAGTGATATTGTTATCAAACGGAAATCCGTTTAAAACCGACTGAAAACAGAATAGTAATTACAGTGTCTCTTTTAAGCCTTTCAATCCGACTGATGTTAAACCAACCATGACCTTCCAATCGAAAAATCGACAAACCTTTCATGAATTCACCTTCATGAATTTTTAAGAGCTCAAAACGGTGTGAAATGTTTCATATGTTTTTAAATGTTGATGTAATAACTTGTAACGTACAAAATCGGTCAAGTTTAATTGTGAGTAGTAGCTACATGAGTGAAATTTACATGAAATGATTTATAAGCAATCAAACAATTTGCTTTTGATTTAGTTGAAGACGTTTTAGTGTTAGCTGATTATACTATAAAAGGTCGATAACTTCTAATCCTGGTTATAAACTGGATTGGTTACCAACAAACTAACATATTATCAGTGTTTTAACGTTCAGTTTCCGTTTCGTAGTTGGCATTATGTTGGTAGTATTCTTATCTGTTTAGTCAATGAAAAAATGAGAATTAATTAGATTATTTGTTTTCAAACAAGTTTTATGTAGGCTGCATTTGCCAGATGTGTTTTAGAAACAAATTTTCTAAGTACATTTGCAATATCATTAAATCGTCTTTCATAAAATACATTTAACATTTTGTTTGTAATTAAATGTTTGTATTCTAAATTTACACAAAAATCCCTAAAGCAAAAATTTTAAAAACACGATGATGTAGTCGTATTGATCGCAAACTTGTTTTCACTTTTTCCATGAGTCACTCATAACGAAAGTGAATAATTTCGTTGTGTATTTGAGGTATTGCTTTTGGCAATGTGGGTGCTTCAGATTTCAAGCCCACATTATCCAAAAATCTGAAAATCTGGTAAACGTCACCCACACTCTCGACAAGTATTAGTAATGAAAGAAGCACCAAACAACAAGGGTTGGGGTTAGCCGCAACCATCCAGGGATAAGTATTTGTTTACCTTGGGCGTTTGGTAACACGATCTTCTCTCTGGTATCTGTTCTTTTGAGGGAAGAAGACTTAAAATTCTCTACTCCAGCGATCAGTGCGTTATGCGTGCGTTCCTGTGCCACATCTACATGCAAGTGTATACAGTGTGTAAAGAAAAAATCAACAACTACAGGAAGACCGAATTGTGGAGGAGTAAAAACAAAACTACGGAGGCGAATTCCACGCGAATTTTGACTTTATTAACTACCCACGGACCGAAAGATTGATGCGAATATTGACTCCAGGGAAAAATAATTACCTTCAGCTGAGGGAAGAACTATTTTCTCCTGAGTGTCAGCGTTTTTCAGATTGGTCGGTTTAAAGCCCTCAAGCTCGCTCTTGAGGTCACCGGCAACTCGGGGAAGGTCCTTCAAGGCTGGAGCAGGAACTGGACAAGACATCTGTAAAGACGACAACAATACAAGTTTTTTTGCAAACATTGTCATCTAATTTTAGACCAGTACAACTAATTCTAAAGACACAAACTGGTTTCGATAGTCATTTCTAAATTAGATGACAGAGCGATGAACAACCGGAATGCTGATAATGTCTGCGAATTTAATAGAAGTGACATAAATCAGTGCTGCACAAATAACAATATTATTGTACTTATTTAGCACGTCTTATCTAAAAATGCATATAGCATGTTTATTAAAACATTTATCACGAATAACGAAAGATGCTATTGACCCCTGTAACATTTTTAGCAAAATAAATTACTTAAGAGGTGCTTCCTGAAAGAATCTGTTTCTTGGTCTGATGCACAAGTCAGTCCGTTATTTGGTCGGCTAACAAACTACCAAATCATTAATTTGCGTTAAAGGAGCGTAACTTAAACAATTCTACTAATTAAAATATTTCTAACACATGTTAGACTTATTTTTCCTTATTGCGTTAAACATTTTTTCCGCGAAGTCACATTTTCCTAACTTAACAGCAAAAAAGTGTAACATTTTAATGATCTCAAAATAAATGAGAATGCTCATGCGAACCTGTAAAACTTAATTTAAAGCCCATTAAACACTTTCGCACCATGGGAATTTATTTAATTGCTTTCTACTGCCAAAAATAAGCTCTGAATCAAATTCCAGGGCTGAAATTAACACAGCTTGATGAACTTGAATAGATAAAAACAATTCTTTATGCACCAACAAAACATCTGTGTGTTATCTTAAAGTGAATTCACCTAGACTTAGTGTTTGTCAGATTTCAAAATTTTTAGAACGTGAACGCACTAGAAACGTATAGATGTGAAATTTCATGTTGCGACTTTTTTATTCGTGGCGTCTAGACCATATATGGTACAAGTTTACTCACTATTCTATAACCTCGTGCGAAACTCGACCATATGTTAAATGTTCCCTCTTTTTCAAAGAACAGATGGTTTTGTTTTTAGCGAAATTTGCCCTTTTGTGACATCCAATTGGATATAAAACCACTTCAATTCGTAATTGTAGCTAATTTTATACTAGTGGAAGGAACAGGTGATCAATGAGTGTCATTTCTATATGAATCATTAAATAGAAAGTTTTTCTAATATTTACTAAGACTGACAACAAGGACGCAAGATGGTCCATAAAGATACATATTTATCGAGTTTCCAAGTTGGTAGCGGAAAATTTGTTCCGAAATTGTTCTTAAAGTAGATCTATTCAATTCAACTTCATAATTTAATTAAAGCAATTGCATAGCACAAAAGATGGGGTAAAGTAATACCACTTGTATTATTAACCTTGAACAATATTACAATAGGTACCTACCACATCTCATTGTTCATTTCTTCACAAGAATTCACATAAAAGAGGGCAGACAATATCTCACCTTTTATTATTAATCATATGCAAGTCTTGTTCTTGTTGAAGCTGATATCTATATAACCTTGTAACTGTTCCAGTTGTCTATAATCATATTTATTTAAAAAGTTCTAGGCGATGACACAAAAAATACAGGGTAATTCAAAAATGTCGGACCAACTCTCGAATGGTGATATAGGACTTCAAGTTAAACATAAAAATGATTTCAAATTTTTGTTGCAAACTGTTTTTTTTTTTTTTAAACATAACTGTCAATTTGCATTTTATCATGTAAGCATCTTATTTTTTTGTATCCGATGTTAGATTTAATTTGTTGAATTTGCTAAATGTTTTTTTACTTCACAAAACACAAATTGGTGATTTTTTTCAATAGATGTCTGTTTAATGTTGCAAGATCTGCCGTTTCCGCTAACTAAAGTCGAGAAAATACATTGTCTGAACGGCCAATAGTTTACCCAAAATCTAACATTTCAAGAGCTATATCTCGTGAAAAAAGGCTCAAAAATTTTTTTGTCATGAGAACTTTTAACTCAGGTGGAGGTCTTTTATCATCACCCAAGAGATTGTCCGACACTTTTACCATTTCGGTTTATAATAAATCAAATAGTGATACATTCCGAAAATAAATTAAAAGTACAAAAATCTATCAAACTGTTTGCTTTAAAAAATTTTTATGGAAAATACACACACTGGCTCAACATGAATCATATTTGGGCGATAAATATTTAAATATTGTGTAGACTTATTGATTTCCAAAATAAATAACAAGAAACTCATTTTTTTATTACTAATCATAAAATACTATATCAGTTAGTTTATTTGATGCTTTTTATAGACTTTTCGAGTTTATATCCCTATATTAAATTTTTGATAGCTTTGCTAAATAGGCATATACCTATGTAAATAAAGGTTTTTAATTTGTATGTAATTATCTAAATATACCGTAATGTTATTGTAATGTAACTAGAAATTTGGTTTGTTGCTTCTGAATTTAATGTAGCTATCTGTTAGCACTAGTCGTAATAACGTTTCAAATATTTTTTTTAATAAAAACTAATCAAAAGAGATTCTAAAATTAATATCTCTTATTTAATTGCTTGTGGACTTTTTTATTTCCCCCTCTTCATTTGTTTTTGACTTATAATTTGGTACTTTATTCCCTCGGGAGTAAAATAAATGAAATAGCGCTTTTTACTCTTAAAATAAACAGAAATGATCTTTTGAGTGCTTCTTGACATAAACAAATTCCTTGATAGCGATTTTTAATCTTAAAATTGCTATTGAATGAATATTATGTGTAATTTATCATTTTCTTATCTTTTTAATTTAGTCTCTTAGGAGGAAAGATTCATATGCATATGTGAAATAAATATCGCTAAAATCTCTCGAATAAAAATGTCCTCAGCTCCCTTCGGTCGTCTTTGACATTCGGGGGATTAAAATAATAATAATTCATAAATCACAAATAATAAAATTTTATAAAAACTTGAGTTTTATTGTAATGTTAATGTATTGTTAAACTCTTGTGAAAATAATTGTTGCCCAATCTTGTAACGCAAATAATAATCGGCAGAAATAGTAATTTGCTGAAAATTTAAATTATTTAGGTTGTTTTAATCAATGTAATCTAACTGGTCATTATAGTCAATAAGTTTATGACTAATGTGAAATTTTTAACATTTGCGATAATAAAACAACAATTAGTTTTCCGTAATGTATGTGGGTGCTGTAAAATTCCGATAATGGCAGAAGACAATAAATAATAAAGCACCATTTTTCCTGCATGTCTAATGACCCCAGCTGATTAACATTCCACGTAGTTTTGAAACAACCTGTCGTCATCAATTTGAAGAAAACACACAACGATGTTTCAAACCGAATGTTTCATGCAAAGAAACGGTTTAACCGTCCTACAGGACACCTACGGACCTTAGTCGACCCACAATATGGGAAAAAACTAACTGAAAGCCAAGGTTGAATTATTATAATCAGGAAAAGTAGGTTATGGCTGTAATGGCACAACGAAGATCTTAATAGTGGATGCTGAGAATCTTTCATGAAGAAAGTTGCTCGAAGATATACCCAACGACTTTCCACCAATCATGAAAATATAATTTCAGGAATTATTTAAATTATATTCTAATTAAGTTAATTAATTTGGATTAGGATAGGGTTTCGTCAGAGTCGGGAACATTTTCTAATACATTAACTTTCATACCAATTAATTTTGCCTCTTCATGGAAGAACAATTCGGTTTTTATTGTAACCATGAACTTAACTTTGGAAAAAATTATAAAAAGGTCGATTTTTGGTTGAAGTTAGACACCTGTTCCCCCACGTAAAAATTAAATAAATATTTTTAAAAACTAAAATTGTATTAAAATGCATTCTCTACACTTGAATCATTCAAAACACTTAATATTGCAGACGAGGTAGCCACCTGTTTCCTTTTAGCATTTCCGGTGATATCCTATCGGAGGTTCAACTCTATTTTTTTTCGAAATAATGTCCATTGTATTTATATACGTTGCTCGTTACTCTAGATTTATTCCTTTTCATTGTTGATAACAGTAAATCTTTCATGAGAAACAAGTTAACAACAGTAATAGTTAAATTTATTCATGATTAATGTTTCGAATTAATGATTTGCACTTCGTCCTCCGGTAGGAATTTGAAAAATTCATCCTGCTACCCAAAAAGGTTGTAAAAAAGTAACGACATCGTATAAAAACTCGCAATAAAAAATCCAAATAAGATAATGAAAGAAGTTACAGTCAGTTCGATTCCCCGACAAACCGCACCCTAATTCAAAGCTGACTTGTTAGATTTAAATGAAATAAACAAACTTTTAAACGATTACGACACAAAAGGAAAAAATCAAGCTTACCTTAAGTGATTTGTTACTAAAAAGCTTTCGTCAGACTTAAAAATTTGATACAACTCGAAGACCGGTACGTCGAACACGAACTACAGAAAAATTCCGGTTAGGTCGAATGCTGCACTTCGAATGGGGGACCGGCGATGGCGATGCGCAAACGATACTTTGCAGTGGGGGACGTTATGGCTGGTTATGCCGTCGGGGATGGTAAAATGAGTCATCGGAGATCGACAGACGTCATCAAAAGGATTATCTGAACACTTGGGTAATTGTTGTAGGGGTTGAAATTGGCCCGTTTAGTCGCCAATACGGAAACGAAGATGGCAGCGTTTTGTGTAGCGTCTTAATAAGGAAAATTTGAGGAATTTTATTTCTCTACAGTAGCCAACATTCTCATTATTATTCAAAAAGAAATATGTAGTTTTTCAAGTTAATATACAGGAGGTTTAGTAAATAGACCACAAAAAGAAAAATGCCAAGTCAAATAGGATATACCAGAAACATGAAAAAAACAGTATGTCCCCATCAGATAAGTCTACAAAATGAAGAACTTTTTTTTTTTTATTTTACACCAGCATTTCTAAAAAATAACATTTTTTGCTTAACCTGAAACGAACAAATCTGTAATTAAAACTTTATTATTCTAACTCAGTGGAAAGATTTCACTTTCACAATTAATCAATTAATTAATTGAATAACGATTGTTCTTGTTAAATATGACTTTGTTTTTTTTTCTTAAAGCTGTTTCTCTGAGTTGCCATTTATTAAAATTATGTTTTTCATACATATTTTTGTTATTTAACTTGCTTAAATTCATTTGTCAAAGTGACATTGTTGTCAAAAAAATAAAACCGCCAATGTGATAGAATTTAAAACGCAGAGAATAATAATTATTACAAGTCCAAATTCAAGAAAAAAAATTGTCACTGAGTCAGAATAAGTTTTAATTATAGATTTGCTCGTTTCAGGTGACGCAAAAAAAAGTTTTTCCTTTGGAGTTTTGGCGTAAAATAAAAGATAATTTTTTCTCCTCTTGTAAACTCAATCCGGAAATATACTGTATTTTAGAGGTTTTACCATGCATTTATAAGTTCTACAACGATGTCAAAGATCTATACTTCTATAACCGATATAACATTTTATGTCAGAGTATGAAGCGGTGGTAATCATAGTGTAGTAAAATATAAAACTGTTAGAACAATAAGAAACTATATGTACCATTCAAAACAGAACCATGATAAACTAAATAAAATTATACTACATATTAAAAAACGACATAGAATTTGAGTGTAATGCATCTAAGTAAGAATTCACTTAACGAAAACGATTAAAGTAGAAGTTTTTCTCTTTAGTAAGTAGTAAAATCGATACTTTCTCAGGCTAGACTGATTTATTAGTGACACTTAGATATTTACAACATGCTAGTACATATTACTGTTAGCTGTTATAGTTTAGTTTTGACTTAAACAGAAGATGTGCATAGCTGGTATAAATATTTATGACTTAGAAAATTTTCCTTCCCTTTGGTTTCGCATGCGAAATGTATCAAGCAGCCTAAAATGTTATTCTTACAAAAAATAACAACCTTAATAGACAATGTGTTAAAGAACCGTCAATTTACCGCAGGTACTTTACATTTATTTTGCAGACCTTTCATTACGTACTCATACTCATTGACTCAATCCATTTTCCAACGCAAACTTTTACCAAAAGTGATAAAGATTTTTGCAAAATAACTGTGTAAAAATTAATCCTAAACCCTTAAATCTACTTAAACCATTGTAATGGTATGCTATTCTTCTACAGAAGTTTTTATCTACCGCTGCATAATCCTAATTCAGGTTTAGACTTGTCCACAAACATATTAAACCGTTGCAAATTCAAAAATTTTGTCTATATTTTTAGTATACTCTGAATTTTTCATAAATTTATTTAATATGAAATTTTCTATATGACCATGCACAATACACTCACTATTAGAGAAGATTCAAACATATGTACATATGTACTGCATTTACTTTCTTCAATAAAATGTACTTACTAATAAAGCTGATTCAATCCATTTACATAATTGAATTACCCAGAAAATTGAAGACTAGATTTAATTTCCTCATACTTATCTAGTATTAACCAAATGCGTTTTGTATATTATACATGCAATTATAATTTTATTTGTTTATATTAATGCTAGTGACTCTAGTAAATCTTGAGTCGATTTAATATATGTAAAGTATGTAAGTATATATGTATTTTATGAAAATTTCATTGGGATGTCTTTTAGAAAAAATTGAAAAATACTTCTTTTCGCACATACCTAGACATTAGACACCCATAAATACACATCAACTTAATTTTACAGTGCTAATCAGTAGAGGTCTCTTTAAAATCTAATCCTTTGTTGGACAAAAAACAGATGGCGCTCGCGCAAATAATCAAAGAAATGCTACAGTTGAAAACTAATTTGATAATTCGAGTTAATTATGATTTTTTATCAAGTTGAGATAGTTATTTTAAAATTGTTCTGCCATACATGTTAACTTTTCAATAAACTTGCTTTGCAGATTCCTCCAGTATTTTGCAGCGCCATCTATTAGTTATTGTTTGAATTACAACTAAGATTCAATAAGGTGCATGAATCACTATTGGAAATTTTCTTATAAAAAAAAATAAGCTTATGCTTACCTTTTTTCGCTACTTTCTTAACAACAAAAACACCCGTAACCGTGTTTTCGCCAAAATATTCACCAAAGCAACCTTTCGCACTCAATGATCTAGAGGTGGCATCACCTGTTGAGTTTCCTCAGAATACTTCTCAAAGTACCACGCGCGCAATTCCATTTCTGAAAACATTAAACAGGAACTATTACTCCAATGATGTAGCAGTTTGAATAAAAATCTCGCACTTTGATGAGTGGTTGTTGTTGTCCTACACTAAGCTCGGCCAAATAAAATAATTTTGTTAAGTATGTACTTGGAAAAATTGAAAGGAAAAAACTCAATTTTAATTACTCTGATTTAATTGTTAAAAAACAAAATTTGTTAAATTGCACCACAGTTTCTCATTGTAATGAGTACATTAAACAAACTTGAAAAAATAATAACTGAAAAACTAATTAATTTCATGTGAATAAATTTTTTATGAGTGAATCATAAAAAACAATTCGAGTTCTTAAAAGGATATGTACCTCTACAACAAATTAGGTAGAAATAATATCAGTGACTGAAAAAATAAGCTTAATGTGAATGTCTTTAAGACTTTTGTAATGCCCCAACCCAGTAAAATAAACAAAAGCGTACCTTACAATTTTTTAACCCGTGTATAGCATTTCAAAAATCTAAAGAGTGTTCCCATAGAACATTACTCAAAATTTCCAAAATTTAACAAATGTTGTTTTAAGGCACGAAACAAAATTTCGTTAAAAAATATGGCAACTTATAGGACAAACTATAAATCTAATGATATCCAGAATCTTTGGTTTAGTTACACTCTTTAAGTTTTTGAGACGCTTTATTTCCTATCTAACCTAGTCTTAATAAATTAATATTTATTCTGTAATTACAATTTATTCTGTACACCTAAATTATTAAACTAAACTAAGTGGTGAATACCCTAACCACGTTACTAACTTTACGTTGGCATATGGGGCACCTTTTTAATGATTTCCATGTTCGCATTGCGCAACTGTAACAACAACACATATGTGCGATACGTCCGTGCAAAAAAACACTATTTTTAGGTTTAACATTACACATGATACAGTCCTCTTTTAACTCAGGTAAAGGACCTTTTATTTGATCCGCTTCAGGCGACTTTGGCGGCAGCGTCTCCTCGTCCAACACGACACAACTTTTTTCACTCGTTGCATTCTTCGCTTGATCGCTCTCATCACCGCTTTTCTTCGATTTCAGCTTTTCTTCGGCATTTTCATCCTTGGTTTTCGGTTGTTTCCTTGGACGTTTCTCTTCATACTCGTCCGAAAGACTACTTTCAGAAATTTGTCGTTTCCGGTTCTTTCCTTCATTTTCGAGACTAGTTGATGGATTTTCGATGTTGGGGATGACGATCTGATCAAGACCGAGCGATCCAAACTCTTGACTGGAACCAATTCCAGAATCCTGGGATAAGCCTTTGAGACATGACTGTAAGGCGTCTAATTTGACCGGGAAGTGGGGTTTTTCTTTACTCCTTTCGGCTTTTTTGCGCCGCCTCGGTCGTGGTGGAAAGAACGCCTTTCGATCCTGTGGGGCAAACATTACATGAAATTTATGATTAAAGGATCAGAGCGGTCCGATTGGCTCAACTCTGCAGCATCCTCCCCACTAATTGTTTAATTGGCGTGCCAAGGGAATTTTATCACTTGCCAATTAAAGCTAAAACTGCATCTGGTTCAGATCAACTCCTTGCTCGGTCTGCATGCGTTACACAGTTTACATACTTCTTTAGAATCAAGAGTTTATTTATGCAATACCCCAGGTATCTTTTAAAAATTATTTCAATCTTATCGAAGTTATATTTAGAAAGTCATAAGATATCACTATATTCACATAACAATCTTTTCTTTTTACAATTTGCATATATTTCTCATTTTATTTAAGAAATTATTATAAATCATAACATTCTTCTTTCATGTCTTAATTACAGAGACATTTTAGAGTTCATTTATAACGATTTTTCAGTTTTGTTTATAATTACAGTCATTTGAAAACTGCATGAATGAATATGTCTTACCATTGCCAATGAACTCTTTAATGTTTTATCGTGCTGCAACTTGTATGATAATGTACACTGGAACATCATTCACATGCATATTTAATCAACATGTGATAAGTGAAACCCAAAACCATGATTAATGTTAGTAACTACATAACTTTAATGTCGAATTTCGTATAAAAATAACTCCCACCTGTAAGAATGCTTCAGATAAGCAACTAAAAGTAAATTTAAATATTAAAACCTAATGCTGTTTTCTTTAATAAAACCCAACACCTAATTTAATGTTAGTTTATTAGTTTCCTTAAAAATTAAATGACTTTAATTTATAAGATCTTACTGTAATTATTTTTATAAAAAAATACAAATCTACTTGACAATATTAACCACAAACATTAATCATGCGATTAGTTCATTTTCTGCTCAACACGTTTTTTTATTAAACGTTCCCAATAATTCTTTATTTTAAATTAATAAACGTTTTCAAAGTAGATAATAGTTAGTAAGTTTTCCTAGCTTCTTATTAAACACTTGAGATAAATCTGTTAACTCTATTTTTATAAAATTTCTGGATAATTAAGACGACTTATCTCTTGTGTATTTACATAGTTAGATTGGAACATGCAAAGTGATTAGAAAAAGTTAATAAAATATAAAGTGCACAAATATTGTAATTCTTAATTTCCTTTACCACTTTCCTAAACATGAATGAAAAATAGTTAAATATTTTAAAATCCAAATATAAATGACTTTATGTAATAAATAAGTAAGAAAAATAAAAAAATCTTACCAATGTCCCCTAGAAAAGATAAAAACCAACCCACTTGAATATATATTTGATAAAAAAATAAATAAAAGAAAAAAATTACCTGAGTTCTGCTTCACCAACCCATCAAATGAACAAATAATATTTGATAAAATATAAAAGAAAAAATATTACCTGAGCTTTGCTTCACCAACCCACCAAAATGAATAAAATAAAATGTATAATATTGTCCTATAGTGACTTTCTTCTGTCAACTTTTACAATAACCAGAAGCACTTTTAAGTTCTCAAGCAGTCTTTGCACACAGCACAAAACTTACGATTCACTTATATTTTTAGTCTCTATCACAAAATAACCATAAATCTGCATTGTACTTTGGCAATAATAGAAAAACATGTTAGAACAAACTAAAGAAAATAATTTAATAGACACATCAGTTGAAAAATCTTGACTACAAGTAGTCTAAGAAAAAAATCTATGCCAAGTACTTGCAGATTTACAGCGCATTCGCAATTGATAACTACCTGGAAGCATTTATCGCAGAACCTAAATTGTGGATTATCGTTTTGTGATTTGCATTGTATGCAAATCCAAAAATCCGTGAGTCCTGAAGAGGAATCGCCCTGTCTGCTGTTGTCTGAGTCTTCGGCATCGGTGATAAAAGTTTCCAGCGAGCTGTCTCCAACAACGGCAGCTGCATACATAACCCCCTGGAAAAAAGTTACAATTCATCAAAAGGAAAAAATTCAAAATGTGAAATCAATGTAAATATTACAAATGCGAATGATCTTGTGGTACATGTGATCAATAAATGAAATATCTCTTGGAAATAAGTGACTATACTCTCATTATCTGTAAAGGGATAAAAACCTTGTCATAAGCTCAGAAACAGACATCTTAATAATTTTCAGCCCCTTTAAAAAAATAGTATAATGCACATTAGAATAACAATATTACGTAAGTTGCAATTTGTATTAATTGAAATAAAGATATTAAATGATCGTTCTCAACATAAAAAAACTATATTTTTCATTAAAAAAACACTTGAAAATTTAAATTTAACTATTCTTCCTTTTTTTCTTTCTCATCATTTTGTTGAGGGTTCATAAGCACGTGAACATTCTGTCGTTTCCGTATTAACAATACTATTCAATAAATCATTAGTAAAATTTGTATTCTTATTACCCAAATAAGAGTAATACCCAAAAAACAGCTTTCATACCATCTAGTTTCTATTAACTATTATTGTTTGATAAAATGTTTTGTGTATACAATTCTGACTGTAAGATTTCTGGAATATAATTTGGAGTCTCAGTAGTTTCAGGCCCTCACGCGTCCTCCTCTAAATCCGCCTCTGCATAAGCACTCAACCAACAAAATTGTTATTTTTACTTGATCTATCAAAATGTAAGTTACTGACCTTGTCTGCAGTCACAAGTATCATTACATAATCTTAATGGACTTTCGATAGTTCTTAATTAGTTGAATATTTATATTATTAATGGTGTCACAAAATATACAGATTTAGGTATATGGCTGTAATTATTCTAACCTAACTTAACCTAACTAACCTCAGATTCGCCAGAAGAGTCATAGATGATGATATTATCATCACCTTCAGATAAAGTCTCAATTTCATATTCGATGTCTACATCGTATTCAGACGAATCTGACCTCGTATCCGATGTATCCCTCACTATGTCTGGAAACAATGCATTATTCATCCTGCCCACACCAAAGGAAGCAGGATCCTACCAGTCTCTTTATCCTGGATGCTGTGAATGCTTTCAGTATCATCAGCACTCCCAGGAGAGCTCTCACTTTCTAATCGATAGTAATTAAACCGTTTGACTGGAATTGGAGATTCAAATTCATCGAAGCTCCTCTTCCTCCAAGGCACTGCAAAACAAAACGGTTGATATCAACACGAGTATTTAAATCTTTGAAGAAAGTGTACACACTTTGAAAAAGCGCACTCACACCATGCTGGTTTAAAATTAACATTGCAGGTAATTGGTGAAGTACTTACATGCGCTCGTCGACATGTTTTCTTCAATTTTAACGAAAAAGACGCGGTTCCAGCCGTGCCCACTTTAAACTTGTATAAACTTGCGTGCTTTTCCACGAACATCCGGAAATACCTCAGAGAGCAAGATTTGTGCGCTTGCGCGGGAAATGGCTTCATTCATTTTTGGCGACAGTGCTGCCAACATTAAATTTAAATTAATATTTATTTCGCAGAATCACAAAAAACTACAATTTTTTTGTAATCGGTGTTAATTCTCATAGAAAATTGTTATCCCAACATGTTATAAGCTTAGAGGGTTATTAAAAACAATTCAGTTTCAAAATAAAAAACATAGATTTTGTAGACAGAAATAACTAATAAATATTTTATTGCAGCACCATCATCCAAATCCAAAAATTTTAAACTGATATTGTCATCCTTGATGAAAACCTAATTTACAAAATAGCAAAAAGTATGCCAAAAGTTGAATGTCTTAGTTTTCAAGAGCTGTAACTGTACAAAAACTGTATATACAAAAGCCACGAATAACGTTAAGAGTATATACCTTCTTTGTTTCCTCTTCTAACAGTCTGCAGCAAAAAACAGCCTCCAGAAAATAATAATTAATATAAATTAAAGTAATATAAAAAATGTGTTTACGAAATTTTGTTTAGTTTTTGATTTAGGCGATTTTTTTTGTCAGAATTGCAATTTAATTTAATTTATAAAAAAAATAGTATGAAAAAATTAAATATAAAATAGAAAGTTGTAATCCTTAAATCATAACCTTCATGAGAAAAATGGTTTTATGTTGGGTTGCTATTTAAAAAAAAAATGTGGAACTTAAAAACAAAAAAAAAACGAAAAATTTTATTTTTGAGAAAACATCACATTTTTATAGTACTTTATCATTCACCATTACATAGTTTTTCTAAAAACTAAATAGTTTAACCAAAAAACGTTTGTTTCCATACTTTGTATTCACCTGGTAGATAGAATTTTTTAAACATTTTTTCCATGTTCCTGGTATCTTATCTCACTTGTCATTTTCTTTGAAGTGTGAGTTCTGAAATATCCTGTAGGTAACTCTGGTAACTCTAAATCATTATTAGAAGACAAAATCAAAAAAGCATTTGCATTCCAAAAATTAAAAAAAAATGACCCAAGTGTTGTATCCTGAATGAGACCAGTAAATAATTCAAACTTACGAAGAAATGACACTAAAAACATTTGTCTGGTTTTTTAAACAGAAATATCAAACAGCGTTATAAATGTTGACATCACGAAGGACACGTATGTGTTCATCGTAATTTTTTTAAATTAAAATTTACAACACGTATTTTTAATTTAAAATAAAATTGTCATTAAAAATCAGTGTGCTCATTGAAAACAAAAAATGCAAAATTTGGGCAAAAACTGGGCTACGCGCCTTTGTAAAAGTCTGTAAAAAATCAGGTTTTGTAATTCAAATGGTTGAAGGTGGTACCATTCAAAGTACAAGTTTAAATGGAAATACAGAAATGGAAATAAAATACACACTTATTTTTAGCTTTAGGAGACAACAATTTACAAAATTTTCAGTGGAAAAGATGAAAAGACAATAAAGACAAAAATAGAGGGGTTTGTTTTCATAATTTTTATTTGTCCGTATAAGTATTTTTGATCTTCAAGAGTGGTCAAAATTTTTGTTTGAATGATTTACATGAATTTGCAAAAAATGTTCTTGATATTACAGGTTCCCAAAGTCGAAATTATACCAAATTAAGAAAAAAAAAATTTAATTTATATTTACACATAAAAAGTGTTCCATATAATAGTAACAAAGTTTTAAAAAAGCGTAATTTTTATTACAATTCTTATTGGATAATTTTATAATTATTGAATTTCCTTTATTTCACATTTTTTACAACAAATTAAAGCCAATGTTAAAACATTAATTGTAGACATAGGAAATTACAAAATAAAAACCGAGATTAAAGCACTATGAACAATTTTTTTTAGCTAATCCTTATCTTATCGCAAAAGAAACAGCATAATCATACCCCAGCGATGAGTGGTCTTTAAAACAAATCATAAAATTTCCTCATTGCACATTTCAAAAGCATTTAGTTTTGGAAGCGGGAAACTGCGTTTTCTTGTTCAGTCTTCTCGCGTTGGTAGCGCATCCTCCATCGAAAGTTCTCTCTAATTAAGTTGGTGCATCAGCTGATTGACAGCCATGTTGTGAATGGAAGAAATAAGTTCGCCAAACATTTTAATGCCAAATAATAATTAATATGCCGTTAGCAACTTCCGTTGAGCCATGGCAAATTCAACACGCCGATACCGAGGTTAGTTCTGTTGCAATGTCATTGAAAAAAATATTTATTTTTACCATCTGCCAAATCTCTTGGAAAAGTGTTTTTATGTCCACTTTTGATTTTATGTAGCACGCGTAGCCAGTTTTTATGATTTATAACGAGTTTATTCATTTGCAGCTTTTGGAGTGTCCAGGTCCCTAAGAATAGTGTCTGTACGTAAAATATTAAGTTTTTTGCAACTCACTGTTGTTGCACGAAACAGCACCATTTTCATTAACTCGAAATTGCATGCAGGACAATATTTCCCTTTAAATGACAGTACTTCACCCCGTTTTGCCCCTAAACCCCTTGTAGATAGCCCCTAAACGAGAGTAGCTGCGTTAGAGTGAATTGGTGTAGATATCCGCTTTTTTATTTATTAATGAAGACAAAAGCATGTTTTCGTTGTCCTAGACCACAACATGGAACTCCAAGCTATTCATATAAACCCACAAAAATGAAAAATGTTGCAATTAACAGTATTAATTTCATTAAAAAGCTTTCTTGTGAAAAATATTTATAATACTAGTACTAACAGTGCATATTTACATGAAATATACAGGATGTCACTGTTCCAGTCCAACAATGATACAAGTAATTTTTTTTTATCTCTTGTTGCTAAATAAAACATCCTGCATATATTGCTTAGTTCACATTGTTCACTATTCTTTATAGTCCCAGTCTGGAGATGCTGATGAAGCAGTTGGAGTGGAGGAAGCAGGGCCGACTGAAGGAGAACATGAAATTGAACTTGGAGAGGTAATATAAAATAATAATCTTTAATGAAATTATATTTGAATAATTCTTTAGTTGGTACGAAATGGGCATGACAAGGCTGACCCATCCCAGTTTGAACTTCTCAAAGTGCTGGGCGAAGGCTCCTTTGGGAAGGTTTTCTTGGTACGCAAAGTGGTGGGGGCTGATAATGGACGTCTGTACGCCATGAAAGTTCTAAGAAAAGCCACTCTAAAAGTCCGAGATCGTCATCGTACTAAAATGGAGCGAAATATACTTGTAGATGTTGAACATCCGTTTATTGTGAAGCTTCATTATGCGTTTCAAACTGCTGGGAAACTCTACCTTATTTTGGATTTTCTCAGAGGCGGAGATTTGTTTTCACGTCTTAGTAAAGAAGTGAGTTGAGTCATTTTAAAGATTTACTGTTTTATTAACGCAATTTTAGGTAATGTTTACTGAAGAGGATGTAAAATTTTATTTGGCAGAATTAGCCTTGGCGTTAAATCACCTGCATACCATAGGAATTATTTATAGAGATCTAAAACCGGAAAACGTGCTATTGGATGCAGATGGGCACATTGCTCTCACCGATTTTGGGCTTTCAAAATTACCTCTTGAGGAGGGTAAAGCGTACAGCTTTTGCGGAACGGTAATAACAAAAATATTGTGATTTACTCGTGTTTCAACTTGGTTGTAGGTTGAGTACATGGCGCCTGAAGTTGTTAATAGAAAAGGACATTCTTTTGCGGCTGATTGGTGGTCGTTTGGTGTACTAATGTTTGAAATGTTGACGGGAAGTCTGCCGTTTCAAGGTGCCAATAGGAGAGATACCATGACACAAATTTTAAAAGCCAAATTAGGGATGCCTGCCAATCTTAGTTCTGAAGCACAAAGTTTACTAAGAGCTCTCTTTAAACGGAACCCCGCAAACAGGCTCGGTGCCGGCCCTGGTGGAGTAGAGGTGCACATTTTTTATCTCTAGTTTAACTCTACCTAACACCTTAAATCGAACTTTCAGGACCTGAAAAAGCACGAATTCTTCGCTACAATCGACTTTGATGCCCTTCTTGCCAAAAAAATTCGTCCGCCTTTTCAGCCGGCGGTATGCGGACCAGATGATGCATATTTCGATTCGGAATTTACAAGCAAAACACCCAGGGATTCCCCCGGTGTTCCTGCCAGTGCCAATGCTCACGAACTTTTTAGAGGGTTAGTTATATACATATTTTCTAAATTGATCTGTTTCTACCGGTTGTTAACTCAGGTTTAGTTTCGTGGCGCCATGCTTGTTGGAGAACGGAAATGTGTCAAAAAAATCTGAAACTCCTTTGAAAATAATGAGAACCATGGAACGAAACTTTTTTGATGATTACGTACTTTTGGATACGTTAGGGACCGGAAGTTATAGTATTTGTAAGTTGGCACGGCATAAGGCAACAGGACAGCAGTTCGCAGTTAAGGTAACTCATGATTTTAATAACTGTTTTGAAAAATTATATTTGGTTTTATTAAAGATAATAAAAAAATCTTTATGTGATTGTCGCGAAGAAATTGAAATTTTAATGAGATATGGCCACCATCCCGGTATAGTAACCCTGAAGAGTGTGTACGAAGAAGCCGGGAAAATATACATGGTGCTACAACTACTGAAAGGAGGCGACTTACTGGATTATATGATTGCCAAAGTAAGCAGAATAAAAACTAGTTTTATTCCTTCACAATAATCACAATTGTATATTACATATATCATAAGGTAGAGAAGAAATCTTTATTACCTACAGTAATTCGTTTGGTACTTAAAGTCGCTGTTAATTCATAGTGACCACTTCCCTGAGTAAATTTGTAAAAATTGAGTTGTGTAAATCCGACTTTAAACATCCAATTGTTTTTTTAGGGACATACCTATCATAAATGACAATTCTGAAAAAGTCGAGTTAGAATACTTCACATAATAAAATCTACTGCGCCTGTCACAATTGTTGACACAATTTAGTTAATTCTGCTACCAACATAAACACAACCCACACACTAGAGGTGGCGGACTAGAAGCTGCCAACTTTGCAAAAAATTAAACGGCTACTATGAATTGATCGCGACTTTACCCGAGTTATTAACTTAAGATGGATTTTTTTATTCTTATCCTAAATTAGTATTCGCAGCATCTTGAAAAATAAGAGACGGGGCGCAAATTGGTAAATGGTAATTATGGTAATTTTTTTTTAATATTGTTTTTTGCATCGCGGTCTCCATAGAAATAATCCTTTTCTCGCCTGGGCATTTTTTGAGTTCAAGTGATTCCCGTTGGCGCTTTAATCGGGGGAAAATTTTTGACAAATCCAGTTTTTTAGCTTAAAGGGTTCAACCTCATAATATTAATTCTCCGTGGCGTATCTTGTTTTGTTGTATCCTCCCTTCCCAGCTTTTATTAATTGCGTTATTTTTCGTTAATAATTAAAACTTATTCAGTTTTTCCTTAGTAACCCCCGTAACTAAGAAAAAATCAGAATCACTGCTCCAATGCATTTTTTACGAAATGCCCAGGCGGGATATTGATACATTTGATTAAGGAGGCGGTGGTTTTTTGCATTACCTTTGTCTCCTATTATTGAGAATTTAATGCTCTTATCTGCCTATAATTTTTTTGTTTGCGTTCTGCTCACCGTTATGTAAATACAGGCATTTTTTTATTTCATTGCTCTTAAAACATAGACAGGAAAGGAACAACTGCGCTATCTGGCCTCATTAACGGTACTGTCGAGAACGTTTTGTTGTGTCGTATCTTAGTCTTTGGGTATCCGTAATTATATTTTTACTTCTGCATCTACTAAAAGAATTTTCCTCGGAATTTTCTAACTTTATGCTATGAAATATTTGATAAAATAACATAGAAACTGCAAAGAAAAGGGAAGAAGATTTATAACTTACCCTACTATTGATAGTTTTTCAACATGAAATAAGTCCATTTGTTGAAAAATTAGAGGTAGGGCTATTCAGTTGTTTTTTTAATGAGGAAGTTTAAGTTTTTTTTATTTGATTTTGCATTAATTTCATCTAGCCAGCTTTGGAATTTTTTTGCATGTAACTTTATTTGTGCCGCTCTACTTTTTTGAAAGCGTTCTGTCATTAGTGTCACTTATTAATTAATAATAAATTGTTGTTAATTAAACTTTAATTGTTTCAATTAATTTCCAATAATAATTGATAATAATGTATACTTTGTAAGAAAACAAGTTTATAATTGAAGTCTATTTTCGAAGTGGGCGCTTAGTAAACGGCGATTTTTTAATTTTGAGTTACAACAAAGGTTACCCCTACTTTCGTAAAGCGGCATTTTTTATTTTACATGGAAAATTCACAGCTGGCTAGATGAAAATCATTTATAACCACTTTGTAGTTTTATTCACAATTATTAATGTAATATGCCGATTACAAACCTTTTAAAGGTTGGGAAACACATCATTATATCTCATGAGGAGTAATAATATTACTTCTCTTGGGCGGTAATATGCAGGTTTGCCAACGTTAAAATTATAAAAATACCGGGAATGTTTTCTTTCAAATTGTCTAGTTACGCATAAGATTTTGCTAAATTAGTATTCAATTGCGTCTGTAGCAGTTTCTCTTAGTCCTGGGGGAGTACCCAACGATTTTAAATCAGATTCACACATTATTTCAATATTTTCTTTGACATTTCGGAAATGACAAAAATCAAACGCAATTTGGATGGCCTACCACATTTAAACCTTAACTTTGTTAGAATTTTATTTTATTCAAATTTTTGACTAAAAATAATGTGATTGTGAATAAAATAACATACAAACATCGGTATTTTTGTATCAGTGTAATAGGTACTCTTCAATACTCGATATTTATCCACCTCTAATCCATTATTGCCATTGGTCAATAATAAAAATGATTGTTGACTCTTGACAAACTAAATAATGGTACCTTTTACAACTAGTAGTGTAAAAGCGTATTTATTTTCCAGAAACACTTAGCGGAACAAGAAGCTGCATCAATTTTAAAAACCTTAGCCACCACAGTAGCGTACTTGCACGAAAATGGAGTAGTCCACAGAGACTTAAAACCAGCAAATATTCTATTCGCTAGTGAAGAATGCACTCCTGATAGTGTTACAATCTGTGATATGGGATTTGCCAAACAAGTAACAACTATATTATATTAAAAACTATTCAATTATACAGTATTTTTTTTACAGTTACGAGCCGACAACGGCCTCTTGATGACTCCATGTTATACAGCAAATTTCGTTGCACCAGAAGTGTTGAAACGTCAGGGTTACGACGCCGCTTGCGACATCTGGTCTTTGGGCGTCATCCTCTACATAATGTTGTCAGGACGCTGCCCCTTCAGCACTGCCCCCAATGACAGCCCCCACCGAATCCTTCAAAGAATCAGTTCAGGAAAACTTGATCTACATGTAAATCAAATTTCAAAAAATACCACTTGATTAATTACGATTCTTGTAGAATGGCCACTGGAGCGGTGTTTCACAGGAGGCCAAAATGCTCGTCACCGATATGTTACATATTGCACCACAGCGACGACCCACAGCAGCAACACTAGTGAAACATCCGTGGTTAGCCGCAGCAGCGCCCTCTTTGTATCAGAGTCAGATACAAGCAAACACCAGTCAGGTTACTACACCAGAACAGGATGCCCATTTGAAAGAGACGGTGGCGGCGACATTTAGAGCTATAGCGACGTCGCCTCAAGTGGCACATTTGGGGCCCGTTGCTATGTCAGAGTTGGCGAGGAGGAGGTTCAGGGATAAGGCACTGAACAGAGTTCAACAGAATTCATAATGTATGGTCAATTATTAGATTATATGTGATTTTAATGTGTGCAATTGTCGGTTTCTTGTGGAGGTTGATCCATGGATAAAGTCCGCCTGTGAGACTTTTATACGATAATTTTAAGTATCAAATCGAATTTTCTTTGGGTTATAAAAGTGTTTCTTGTTTTTAGAGATAATTTATTTGCTCGGTAAGGTCTAAATGGCGGACCCGCTGGCTGAAATTGCTTTATTATAAAGTACAATTTATTATTTAATTAGTTTTTATTGAGTTGTATATGAAGGGAAATGTTTTTTATACGTAAAAAGTGGAAAACAATACATGGCGTATACCTGAAACGTCAATTTTATATTATGTATGTATATAGAGGATATAGTGAAAGAAGTTTTATTGCCATATTGTTCGTTCCTCAGAGGTGTTGTATTGTTTATGTGAATATTGCATATCAGTGTTAAATACTTTTGTATGGGTATATTATCCAATAGCGTTTAAGTTGAGCATTTAAGTTTTTATACTAGAGTATTAACATATTGTACAATTGGGATGGGACTTGAGTATAAACACAATTCAGTATAACTTCTAACCAAAGACTGTTGCTGGATAACGCATTTTACAGGTACGTATTTGTCAAAAAAGTAGAAATGTTTGTAGTTGCAAATTATGCTTTAAATGTCGCTTGTAATTGTTCATTTATAGGAATTGGCGGACTAATTTCAAGCGTACTAACTTACTTTTCCTCGCTATAGATCAGACTGTGAGCTTATTAAGTATGTACAAATTAATAATTACGATATTGGTGCACCCCAACTACGTAGAACGCCTGTTATAATTTTGCAGCTCGTTCATTGCAGTATTACAACTCATCATAATTCTAAGAACATCACAATGCCATTTCTGCCGATACACTACCTAAAACAATCAGCCATAGTCGTATTTTTAAACTAAAAGAAATGGCATATCTAGAAACTGAACTTTGTTTTGTAGATAAAAGGGTAGGTACGCCCTTCTGTTGACAAACTTAAATGACCCAGTTCAGTGCACAATTTTAGTCACTAGTAAAAGAATTGTTGCCAAAAAATACTCGGTATAAATAATGTCTGCAAAATCACAAAAAAATGATGAAAATTAATTCCAAAAATGTTGGGAGAGCTTTTTTTCAGTAACAATAAAATAAACTTCTCTCATATCCAATTTATTTTTGATTAATTTTAATAATCATGCGTTTAACGCTATTTAATGTTTTAATTATTGGTATTTTAGATTGTCTTGAATTTAATGACTGATGCTACATCTGAAAGTCATTGTGTACTGAACATAGTTATTTAAGTAGTAATAGATAATGTTCATTAGCTAGTGATTTATTTATAACTTTTTTAAAAATATGTGTAATCTTAATCGTGATAAAATAGGGGAAAATGTACATTGCTGCGGCCTATTTCTTGATATTGTAACTATTTTAAGAACTTGATGTTAATGTTGAAAATGGTGAGTACCTCAATATATTTCCTTACTGAATTTATTTTATTATCAGTATCACTTGAACTAATAATAAAGGTTTTAGAACGTTAACAGGTTTTTTATTATTGACGTAATCGAGTGATGCAGCTGTTTATAATCTGAGTTTAATTTTGTGGTAATGTGGAAATAGATTTCGCCAACCTATCTAAAAATAAATAAAATATATAATAATCCCACTTGTTTTAAATGCACCTGGTGAGCGACGTGACTTAAATGCGCCTAACTTTGTCAGGCAATTTTCTGACTCAGAAACCACACACTATGATGGATTTAATCACACTATTGTGAAAGATTAAACCAAAGTAAAACGCCCTTAAAAGTATTATAAGACTTTTAATTCTATTTTTTTGTTTTAAATATACAGTATGTCCCCGGATTGAGTTTACAAGAGGATTTTTTTATCTTTGTTTTTACGTATTTTTTGCTTCACCTGAAACGAGCAAATCTGTAATTAAAACTTTATTATTCTGGTTCAGTGAAAAGAAAAGTTAATTTTTCTCTTGATTTTGGACTTAATGGACCAATGTGATAGGACTTAAAAAGCAGCGAAATATTATTCTTAAATCAAGAGAAAAATTTATACTCGTTTTCATATTACCTTATGTGCATCGAAGTAGTCGTTGAAAGGGATCATTTTAAGGTGGTAACCATGTGAAAATTCAAAATCCTAAACCCAATCTTCTCTAAAAATTATTTTTTCAAATAAATGTGTACCTACCCCATATAGCAAAAAATAGTTAAACTTAACAACGTAATCACCATAGGATAGCAAACATAAAGATTTTATCAATATTGATGTGATTAAATTTGTTTTGAATGACATTAATGACACTTTTTCTGTCAAAGATAAAAAAAAATTCTTCTTGTAAACTCAATCCGGGGACATACTGTATACCTTATTTTGTCGACTTATTTTTTATTAGCTTTGAAGAAATATTAATACTTACTCCTATTATTTATGTCTCAAGGCAATAAACAACTATTTTAATCACGAGAATGTAGGTATTCTTCATTCGACAGATTAACTATGTTTATTATATATTTAGAGATTAACTATGTTTATTCCAGAGATGCATACAAAACTTTCCTTCCAACATAGATACTATTATAAATTAATAATTTTTCAAATTATTCAGTTCATTCAATTTCACTGATTTTTCTTCTACATATGTATTTGTAAAATTGGTAAAATGTTTTTCTATTTTTTTTATCCAATTTCTACGTGCTAATAATACACGATTTAAGTTTTGGTATAGTCTTAGCCAAACTGCATGGAAAAGTTGAAAAAAAAGAACAAACTTTATAAATAAACGGTTAAAAAAATCGCTAAAGTTATTTACATTATTACATTACGAAAAACAATTAAAATATTAAAAACGACTCAAACACAGAGTGCGCTAGAACTCGCGCCCCAGAGAAAAATGCCTTGTAAGGTAAGATACCAGGAACATGGAAAAAATGTTAAAAAAATTCTATTTAGAAAAATTTCGAAGTTATGAGAGTTTAAATTTTGCACTTCGACTCTATTTATTTCTGTTGGAAAAATAATTTTTCAAGTTTTTTAGCTAGAAGAGGAAACAAGGAAGGAAGCTGTATCCTAAATTGTAACTTTGTTCAATGTTATTTGTGACTTTTATTGGCAAAATTTTTGTACCTTTACTAAATAATTATAAAGAAAAACATATACAAGATCATTAGTATCATAAAATGGACATAAAAAATGTCAAATGTCAAAATTTTTTGACAAATAGAATTTTTTAAACATTTTTTCCATGTTCCTGGTATAATATACATATTACTTGAAATTTTTCTCTGGGGCGCGAGTTCTGGCGCACCCTGTATAGTTAACTGTTTTTGTTACAAGAACCTAAAATGCAACGAATCATTGCTGTTTCTCGACGAGGTGAAGCTGAGTCTGGAATAGCAGATGAGTCTTCAAATTTTGTAGGTACGTTTTACAAATATATTATTTGTTAAAGCTACCAAAACCACATTCACAGCTCTTATTATGTACGTTTAATGTGATCTGAGCAAAAATTTGCAACATTTCAAATTGAAAAATTTAATGCCACTATACCGGGAGGGGCATCGGTTACGCCCAGAAAAGAAATCCCCACTTCTAATTAAATAAAATTGTTGAAAATTTTCACACTTACCTGGACTTTGGTAAGGTTCATTTCATAATTTTTTGGAAATTTTTCTTTTACAAAGCCAAATAAAAAAAAAGTCATTTTCTCCCAAAAAGTTGAATTCTAATTTTGCTTTCCTTATCCTATAAGGATCGGCTGAAATCGGCAGAAATTTGACCTACCTATATTTTTACATTTGTGGACGTATTATAGCTTGAAGACACCGGATGCAGATGTTAGTGATGTTTCGTCATTTTTCCAAGACCGTAACCACCACCGCGACTAATCCACACCTCTCACCAAATTGCGCTTCCAATTCTGCTCTAGTTATTTGGCTGTAATGAGGAGGGGCCCCATCTTAACCCTTAACCCCATTAGCTTAACAAGGGTGGGCTAAGGAGCCCACTTGTTTTTACCTGGATGCAAATTTTAACAGTTTCTGGAAACGATTTTATAAAGTAAAATTTTGTAATTCGACCCTGTAATATTTCGTTGGGATATTGGAATTTAGGCATCAAGCTTTGTCAATTTTATGACAAAGCTGTAAATAAGAGACTTCAAAGTAGTCGGCTACCAGTAAATGATTCCTTTGTTGGCAAATTATACCATTTTGTCATAAATCACGCGTCTCTGGTTTATGTTTAAATAAAAAAAAGCGATTATTTATCTAACCAAGTCAAAATTTTTAATTCTGATATCAAAGTTTGATGCGCTAGCAGGTAGATTCATTTAGTGTAATATTAAACACAGTTTTGACGGAATAATAAATATGATACCTTGATTATAGTAAAGACATGTTTTTATTGAGATTGCTCAAGGCCTGAGACTATAAGTATTATTATTCTAATTAATCCCTTCATGATCATCAGATCGTTTTTTTCTAATTATTATTATAATGAGCTATGTTGAAGTTACATAGTGTAGTCTCTACATATAGAAGTTTTTTCGTCTGTCCAGCCAGACCATAACCGGACGTGTTTCACGCCTATTGCTTCTATGAAAGATGGTCGATTTTATCGCACTAAAAGTGTATATCAGAATGTCTGGCACGCAACTCCAGTCTGAATTTCATCTGAAATATCTGCAGTTTGGTGCAGTGCGCTGTCGTAAAGCGCAAGGGTGGCCTAAACCACCTGCTCTTACACAACTTCGCGAATATTGCACTTCGCTGTTGCAGCAGCAAATTTAAATTTTACTACGTGCTATATGCTGTCTTATTTTCAAATGCATAATTTCGAGAGTAATCCGACCTGATGGTGTCACATAGCAAAACTTACGGTGAAAAAAGTCAAAAGGTTACCACCGAAGCCGATCATTAATCACATTAAAATTTCAGAACGATCGTTTCAATAAATAAGAATTTTATGTAGCTAGCCATTTGCTGAACGTGGCTGATTTAAATCGATTCAAACCGCGATTTTATACGACTCTTTTACGATTCCAGACGGCATAATTCTTACGGAAGAATTTTTTGTCTCGGGTGGTCACCACTTTCAATCTCTCAGCTGAAAGGGAAAAGCTCCAAAACATTGAGTTTACATACATCTAAGAAATTGACAAGACTAACAATTTTTGAACTCCAAAGAAGTGGAATGTCTTTCATATAGGAAGCGAAGCGAAAATAATGGTAAAAGTAATTTCATCATACAACTAAACGAAATGTAATGAAATTTTATTCCAAACGCGTACGTCGTCTGCACTTTGCAGGTATGGGTAATTAAATTTTTTGCTTTCCGCTCAAATATGAAATATTCAATAGCAAATTTAGTAAAAATTTAATTCGGATTTTTCTCATAAGTATCTAAAACAAATACCCACGTACTGCTGTCAAGTGCTTAAAGCCATCCATCATTTCACCACATGTTGCCTGATTTATTGCAAATCCATCGGATGCGATGTATGTCCATAACGAGCCTTTAATGAATTCATAGGCGGCACATTTGCAGGTCAAGTCGTTTATCATAATGTAACGCGATACAAAAAAGGGGCCAGATATTAATATTTTAATATTAACCCCAGCCACCACTTTGAAAAATGGACTTCTTGTCAAAACCGGAAAGCTGCATTATTAGATATTATTCATAAATATCTTCCAGAAGCAATAAATCGGATTTTCCAAATGCATGAAATTTTGTACTGAAAGATGACGTTTATTTTTTATGCGCACGAAATAACTTTTTAATTAAAAAGACAAAAGGCCAAAGCTCTGATAAAGATATTTTTGACCATTCCACTTTTTTCGAATTATTTACATTTTCTGGTAAAACAAGTTTTGTAACTCATTTTCAAAAATAACTGAAATGAAAATAAAAAAAATAGGTAATTCGATCTAATCTAATCTAATCTAATAATTTGAAGATCACTAACTCATATAGACCTGTATTTCCACGGGGCGGAAATTTTAGAAGGCGGCAAAATTAATCCATAAAATGAAAATATAGTAGGCTTTTAATCTAAAAAAGATAACAACATGAAAAAGAGTTAGTATGTTAACTGTTCTAAAAACTGATACATTGCACATTTCAACTTCATTTAACAATTATTGATATGAAATATCAGGTTCAGGTTGGCCACTTTCCAACCTAAACTGTCACATGTCAAGTTTTTCAAAATTTGATAATTTTTTTATTGGTTTTCTGTTCTTTATAAAGGATGATTATACAAACCTTGGTGGTCGTTGCTTCATCGCGCCTTTTCATCAAATTTCACCTTAGTAATGAAGCACCTCCCATCTTGGTATGTAATCTACTATTTGTTTTTGAGCTATGCGGTTTTTTTAAGTATATTAATTTTTTTTTGATAAAAATCAAATAAAATATACAATGTCCCCGGATTGAGTTTACAAGAGGAAAAAAAAAATTTTTGATTTTACGCCAAAACTGCAAAGGAAAAGATTTTTTGCTCCATTTAAATCGAGCAAAC